TTTTATTACTAGAAATCAGTCTGTTAACATTTTCTATTTCTTCCTGATTCAGTTTTGGAAGAATGTATGTTTCTAGGATAGCCATTCTTGATCAGCATCAGGACTAAAGCCATGTGGCAGCCACGGTTTCTGCCCTCTGATTTAGCCGGCACAGAGGGCATGCATGTTGTATCATTTCTCCCTGTGAGCTTTAGTGTCCTTACTTTTCCTCCCTGACCAGGAGATTAAAGCTCAATTTTTTTTTAATTTTTAAAAAGTTACTATTTTTTATTTGAGAGGGAGTGAGAGAGTGCATGAGTGGGGGAGAGGGGCAGAGGGAATGAGAGAGAGACCGTAAGCAGGCCAACACGGGACTTGATCCCATGACCTTGTGATCACAACCCCAGCTGAAATCAAGAGTCCGACACTCAACTGACTGAGCCACACAGGCGCCCCAAAGCTCTGTCTTTTTAGAGAGCCATGAGAGCCTGTTCCCCTCTCTTTTTATCAGCTGTACCTTACTCACTGTTAGTGGTGAAGGGCTGTAAGGACCTTCTCCTTTTTTGGTTAGGAATTTCTTTGTGTTCGCACTGGATATAGGGACGATAAGAGGTAAGATTACAGTGTGCCTGCATTTTGCTCATCCCTGTGGGTTGCTGTCTGTCTTGAATATGCATCATTTACGGGAGGAGCACTTGCTCCTAGTCCCAACTTTGGAACTAGAAAAATAGTCTAACCCATTCTGTGAGTTTTGTTCTAATATGTTATAGTTGTATTTTTATTTTCATTATGGGTAGCTTTTATTTCTAAATTAGTAATACTTATGTTTGGGAGAGCCTGGGTGGCTCAGTCAGTTGGGTGTCCAACTCTTGATTTTGGCTCAGGTTGTGATCCCAGGGTTGTGGAATCGAGCCCCAGGTAGGGCTTCATGCTTGGCATGGAGCCTGTTTGAGATCCTCTCTCTCTCTGTCTCTCTCTCCCTGCTTTTGCTTCTCTCGCCGGCTCATGTGTGCTCTCTCTTTCTCTCTCTCTCTCTCAAAATGAAAAATGTTGGGGCGCCTGGGTGGCTCAGTTGGTTGAGCATCTGACTTTGGCTCAGGTCATGATCTCATGGCTCTATGCTGACAGTTCAGGGCCTGAAGCCTGTTTTGGATTCTGTGTCTCCTTCTCTCTCTGCCCCTCCCCCGCTCACACTCTGTGTGTGTGTGTGTGTGTGTGTGTGTGTGTGTGTGTGTGTGTGTGTGTCTTTCTCAAAAATAAACAAATATTAAAATTTTTTAAAATAAATACAAATGAAAAATGTCAAAAAATTAATAAATTAGTTATGCTTATATTTGTTTTTATAATTGTTAGTTTTACTTCCGTTCTTAATTGAATTGCTTTTCATCAGTCTTTCCATTTTATACCATGCATTTTGGTTCCTTGATTTCCTTTTGTGCATTACTTTTCATGCCTTCTTATCCACTGTTTGTGCATGAACTTTCTGGAATTCCTGACACTTTTGTTCTCTAACGTTAAATACTAAGTTTAAAAATCTGAAAGCAGGGGCGCCTGGGTGGCGCAGTCGGTTAAGCGTCTGACTTCAGCCAGGTCACGATCTCACGGTCCGTGAGTTCGAGCCCCGCGTCGGGCTCTGGGCTGATGGCTCAGAGCCTGGAGCCTGTTTCCGATTCTGTGTCTCCCTCTCTCTCTGCCCCTCCCCCGTTCATGCTCTGTCTCTCTCTGTCCCAAAAATAAATAAACGTTGAAAAAAAAAAATTAAAAAAAAAAAATCTGAAAGCATTCGTTAATCATAACTTTTTCTTTCACCTTTGGTATTTTATTGCAGCTCTACCAGGAACCTCAGTTGATTGACATCTCCACTCTTTTTTTTTTTTTAAGTTTATTTATTTATTAGAGCGTGCACATGCAAGCGAGAGCACAAGTTGGGGAGGGGCAGAGAGAGAGGGAGACAGAGGATCCAAGGTGGGCTCTGTGCTGACAGCAGAAAGCCTGATGTGGAGCTTGAACTCACGAATCGTGAGATCATGACATGAGCCAAAATCAGATGCTCAGCCAGCTGAACACCCACGTGCCCTGACATCTCCATTTTTATCCATCACTCTGTACTTGGTTTCCCCTCCCCCCTCCATCTACTTAGGATTTATGGCCAATCGTTTCACTCAGCATCCATCACCCTGCACTTGGTTACTTGGTTTCTTTTTCTTTACCCCCAGTCTATTTAGGATATATGGCCAATAATTTCACTTTTGCTAATACCCGAGACCAGTGGTTTTCAAACTGTGGTCCCGGGATTTCTGAGGGTTGATGGTTAGAACCCTGGAGCAGACTAGGTTACCTGTGAAGAGCTTGTGGATTGAGAATAGATTTCTGGCTCAGCCCTGAGATCCTAGAGAATAATGGTGTTTTTTGTTTTTGTTTGTTTGTTTGTTTTAGACGAGTAATATTTAAAGGCTGGCAGGAAAGGCAAGCTAGTGTTGGAGACTGGGTGAACAATCAGAGAAGGAGGACCTTTGCTGAGATAGAAGGTACTGCTCAGAGGTCAGGTGAAATTATGAGAGTGAAATTTGGCCTCTAGGTCATGGCTGACCGCTGTCAGGGCACCTGACGTTGGGTGGTGGACATGAAGTCTGATCCGTGGTTGGAGGAGGAGTGAGCGGTGCCCAGTGCGAATGTGCAGGTGTCGGCCATACAGGGAGGAGAACAGGGGAGGTGTTAGAGCCCTTAGAGCCCTCGAGCCTCTGCCCGTTCTGCCCGCGGCCCCCTCAGTGGCCGAGAAGCAGGCTCCCCCCCCCCCCCCCCCCC